TGAATGACATGTGAAGAGCATATGGCAAGCATGTGTTTTGGAACGTTGGTGCCTTATGTGGCACCAATGTGGCGCTTGGCGCTTACGTGGAAGGGGAATGTAAGAATGGGCTAGAAAAGGGTTTCTTCTTGGGCCAATGTTGGGTGGATTTTAGTTGGGCTGAAAATTTGTTTTTTTTTCTTTTCTTCTTAAATTTGGGCTTCTCATTTATTAACTAATGCAATATCTTATAAGATGACAATTAAAATTTATAAAATGAAAAAATCAATATTACGACTTTATATTAATATAAAATATAGATACAAAAAATATGGATTTATAATTAAATAAATAAGTACGAAACTTTTAAATAAAGTGACAATAAATCCATTATTTAAGTAAAAGAGATATAAAAACTAAAACATATAATTTAAAAATATCATTTTAATACGCTATTAATTTAGAAGCTCAAAAACAATGAATTAAAGAAAAGAAGGGTCAAAATTGGGTGTCAACAATTGAAACATTATATTTCATTTTGTAACATCTCGCAACTAGAAAGAACTAGAAGGAAGTTTAAAATCTGGAAATAGTTATTTTTGGAAAGTATAAGGAAATCTGGAAAAGTTTAAAGTAAGTTAAAAGTGAGTTTTTGGTCAACTTCAAACGACCATAACTCCTAGCTCATGATGAGTTAGGTGTAGTTCCAGATATGGTTGGAAAGATCTTGGAATGATCTTTCCAACGCCGCCAATTTTGCACAATTCCGAGTTCGTATGAGTAAGTTATGCTCTTTTGAAGTTGGCTGTTGGATTAAGAAAAGTCTAATCCGGATTTTGGAAGGGTAATTTAGTCTTTTCCTTACCTAATTATTCTAATTCGTCTTTAGGAGATTAATTGGGGTAAAACCAGATTTTGGTCAGTTTAGAAAAATTAGAGTTCACGTTAGGGCTTGGAGAAAAGAGAAAAGAGGAGAAAGGAGAAGAAGAAGCAAAATTCGTCAATTTTGTTAAGGATAGCTTGTGGATTTCGTCGGGGGTGATCCCTAAAAAGGTATGTGAGATCACATAGCATTGGGTTAGTTCACCCATGCGCCAATCATGATTTAATTCAACGAATTTAAGTCTTTGAAGGTTTAGAAATTGAGTTCTTGATGAACATCATTGAAGGTTTTATTGAATTACTGTGGGTTGTGTTGATTGAAGTTTCTTGTAATTTGATTCATGTTTTCGGGTGTAATTTCAGTTTGAATCTATCGTATATTGAGGGTATAAATGATGCTAAGTGTTCGGGGAAGGAACCACGGAAGTTTAGAGGGTTTAGAGATGAAAAACGAAGAAGAAAAGTCGTCAAACACTTAGGGATAGGGGTGGGGCGTCGCGCCAGCCAGCGCCCCCCAAAAGTGTCTCTGAATCTTCACCCTTGGGGAGCCGCACCAGCCAGCGTGCCCCAGACCATCCCCTGAATGTTGAGGGCTGGCGCCCCGCACCTCTCAGAGCGCCAGGGATGCCAGTTCTCCCCATTCGTTCCCCATCTTTTAATACTTGTTCCTTAGCAATGTACCTATGTTTTCTAGTTAATTCCAACACTATAAGGTACATTTAAACATCATGAAATCATCCATAACCATGAGATTATGAACCTTGAATCCATAATCCAATTCAAGGAAGGTTAGGATCAAAGTCAAGAGAAGTTAAGAGTCAAGTCTAGAAGTTAAGAAGCAAGTAAAACAAAGTTTTTAAAAAGTTTTCAAAAGTCTTTAACAAACGTTTCAACTTTGTTTTAAGACTTAAGTTTCAATTCAAGCAAAGAGTAAAGAGTTGAGTTCATTTCTCAAAAGAGTTATAAGGGAACTAAGTATTCCCAAAGAGTTTATAAATGTTTTCACATTTGAGGAAGAAAAGGGAACATCGATTCCAAGAGAGCTTTTAAGCTAAGCTTTGAGTAATTATCTCAAACCAAAGAAAGAAGTTGTTTTAAAACATATGAGCTAAGTATATTTTTGGGAGTAGTATTGAGCACCGATATGGGGATGCGAGTTCATATTAACTCAAGTCTCCATAAATCATGTAGCCATCATGGGTATTAATGGGTCATACTTTTTAGATGATCACATAAGTTAAGCTAGTGGATCCACTAAGTTAAGTAGTTCTATATGACGGCAAAGTTTAGGATAGTTTGGCAGCGTGATGGTAAGGACGTTGTATCACCACTTAGGCTCATAATGGTGGTTGTCGGTTAGAGAATCTCCCACAGAAACTATATTATTTTATTATATGAGTAAAGTTGAGTTTGTTACTGCATTTCCTTTAACGAACTAAGTTGCTTTAACTGTTTTATAAAGATTTTCATATATTACATGTGTTCATTGCTTTATTCTAAGTTAAGTTATTCATGAGTTGAGAAGAGCCAAGGTAAGTGTTTCTTTCAGAATCTTTTCAAGCCTATGTATTGTTTAACATTCCAACTCGCATACTCGTACATTCAATGTACTGATGTCAGTTGGCCTGCATCGTCTTATGATGCAGACACATGTAGCTAGAATCGGCATCCCAGCGCACAGTTGATCCAGTGAGTAGTTCAGAGTTAGTCGGTGAGCCTCCTTGCATTTTGGAGAATCTATTTTCATTGCTTTCTAGTTAGTTCATTAGGATGTTGTAGGGTTTGTCCCAACATCTATCTTAATTGTTTTAGAGGCTTCATTGATAGTCAGATGTTAGTCCTATGAGTCTTTTCATTTTCATTTCTTATTGTTAAGACTTGGGTTGCCACTTTTGGCCAAGTTGAATGTTTAATCTTTAAAACATTCCCAGTTATTTTATTATTCAGTTCAGTTAAGTTCATTGATCATTATAGATATGAATATTGTCTTTCACTGAGTTAAGTAAGCCAGGCCAAGGGTTCGCTTAGGGCTAGCAATGGTCTTCGAGTGCCAGTCCCACCCAGGGTGTAGACTTGGGGAGTGACACATTTATTATAATTGTGTTTCCACAAATTCCTGAATCCATATTGATTGTTTTGTTGTATACTTTTATTAGAAAATAATTAAATTAATAGGGGTGCAAGTCGAGTGTCTAGGAGACACCATCATTAATTTCTCGTTCTTTGAAAGTACACCTACAAAAGGGTGGTGTCATGACCCGAGCCTACACCCTGGATGTGTCCAGCACTCGAGAACCATTGTTGGTCCCCAAGCCTGACTGACTACAAGCGGAAAACTAACTTGAGCATATATAAGCATTAAATTGAAAGAAACGTTTAAAAACAACTTACTAAATCTCAAAACTTTGCTGAATATACTAAGTATGAAACATAAGTTTTAAAGAAAACCTTTGAAACTGAAAGACTCTCCAAAACTGTCTATTTATGAAACCTCTACTATATATAGACGAGTCTCGGGACAAGACCCATGACTACTCAAAATGTTACTAATACCGACAATTCATAAAACTGGAGTCCTCCGAAAGCAAGGAGGTCTTACTCAAAAGCTGGGAGCAGACGAAGTGATCTCAACGGACACTTGTTGAGGATACTAAGAATATGTATCTACATAATTAAAAGATGTATGTCAAATGACATCAGTACATTGAATGTACGAGTATGTAACATAGCTGAATAACAAATATCTGAAAGAAAGGATTGCAATAGATAACAATGTACTCAAGCTGAATGTAAAGAAATAAAAGAGTTAAATCATTTAAAGCTTTGTAAAATACTTTCTCATCTCTGAACTCAACATAATAAGTGATGTATAAAAATAAAATTTAACTTTATTTGAGAGATTTTCTAACTGACAACCATCACTATGAGGTACGTGATGATACAACGTCTCGCCCACGCTGCCAGAACTGTCCTATACCTTGTCGGGGTATAGAACACCTTAACTAAGTGGATCCACTAAGTTATGCTTAAAAAGCAATAAGGAATCATCTAAAAAGTATGACCCTTTACCCATGTTGGCAGACATGATTTATGAGGATTTTGAGTTGTTTGAACTCATCGCCATATCAGTGCTCAATACTACTCCCAATAATATATACTCATGCTCATATGTTTAAAAACATAACTCTTTTTCTGGTTTGAGATAATTGCTTAAACTACCCTCTTAAAAGAGGTAACTGCTCCTAAATTATCTTTTGAACTCATACCTCATTTAGAAATCTCAGTTTCTCTTTTATCAAAGTAAAAGTTGATGCCGTTGGGAATACATAGTCCTCTTATACTCTTGCTCAACTCATACTTGAAACCTCTTTTTTAAAAAACATATCAAAATCATATTATAATTTGATCATTGATGACTGCATAAAAATTGATGATATAACTTGATACCATACTGCTTATACATTGATGACATACTCGATTGTCATACTAATCATGTTTTAGAAACTTTTTTTCTCAAAACTCATCCCGCCCCCAACTCACACTAATCGTCAGAATTGGATTCTAAGGTCATCTTCCTGAACTTCTGATAAAAAATGTCCGTTCACGGTTCAAAAGCTCTCAAAACACTAAAACTCGCATAATAACTAAACAAACGATCAGGTGACCGAACTGTCAGTCCCAACAAGTCATAAATAACTTGGGGTTGCTACATAAAACTCTAAACTACGAATAGGAGACATAAATACAGAAATGACCTGGAGGTCATTACAAAAATAATATGTGAAACATCTATTAATTCTTTCGGAATCACTTGATTAAAACGAACATATAATACACATACAATTAAACAAAAAAGAAACACAATATATTACCCTATTAGTGACTTTTATTTTTATTATACATAAAGAAAAATACAATCCAATATATATATATATAGCTTAATAAAACTCATGTTTTTATAATTTTCCAAACATGGCGCAATGTATACTAATTTAATTTTTTTAAAACAAAATGAAAAAATATAATGGAGTGTCATTGCAAGGGCAATTTAGAACCTACCAAAACATCCACTTAATTGCCTAGGGTTTCCAATAATTAGCCATACAACATTTCTCTGTACACACATTATTCGGTGTATGTTTTGCAAGTGTTCTTCGATAATCGGAGCCTTTTAGCGAAATCGTCAGTCTCTCTGTTTAATCTTCTTTTGTTAACCGTTATTAAGTTGTTGTTTCGACTGATTTTTGTCATCTGGTTTCAGATTTTGAAATGGTGAGGACTGTGAAGAATAATCATGAAGAGGACGAAGAAGACGATGAAGAGTTTTCATCTAGAACTCCCGATGGTTCTTCTCAAAAGGGTATTTAATTTGCTATTTCTAAACTAACTGGGATTTGATGGTTTTTTTTTTTTTTTTTTTGGATAAAAGCTAATGGGGTTTGAGTGTGACAGGGAAATTAGAAGGGAAGAGCAATAATGGGAAGGTAACTGCTCATCGTTCGAAGCATTCTGAGACAGAACAGCGGAGGAGGATCAAGATTAATGAGAGGCAAGTCTATTAACACCTTTTCCTATTGGATATCTCAAAATTATTAACATTGTTCAATTAACCGCTCGTTTGGATGGTTGTTACCTGTTGTATTGTTTTGTGTTCTTAGTTTAAATAGGATGTTAGTTTTGATTGTTACTTATTAGATTTTATTGTATGGTTAAATTTATTGTTAGGTGAAGTCCCGCTTTGTGTAATAACTGATTTGGTGTGATTGCATGATCATCTTATTTTTTTTTCTTATTTTGTCGTTATTTGTTATTTGATAATTCTATTTTATCATTTACCCTACCTTTTCGTTTTACCCAGTATCCTACTTTTGTTTAGGTTGTATTTCAAATTGTTGATGTGTGACATTATGTAACGATGAGAAATGATAAATCTATCCAAACATTACATTGATTAAAACAATGCAGTACTATACTATACAATATGAAACAATATATAACGACCATCCAAACAAAGTTTAAGGGTTTAGGACTCGTTAGAAGTTGCAATATATGTATAAAAATCAACAACATTCCCACTGATTAACCCACAAGTGGGGTATGTGGATGGTAGGATTTTTTGGGAGGGTAGGATATAAGCCGACCTTACCCCTGTCTTTTGTGGTGTAGAGCGAAATTGTTTTTGATAGACCCTCAACTCAAAAGAAAAAGAATTCAAAGTAGGTTTTACAAGAAAAAAATATGACGGCAAAATAACATTTTACATGAGTTTTTGGCTAGAGACATCCTCCAACTATATTCAAAACTTAAGCCACATCCTTGAACCACCATAGTTAACAAAATACATCCTTGAAGTATTTAATGCTTAACAACTTTCATCTTTTTGTTTAACACCGTTAGAAAAGTAATGAAACCAGGCATGTGAATTCCCACACCAATATAAGCACAAACCAATATTCAAGTTGCTTTCACAGCTTCACATCATTTTCCACAAGACCCAGCCAAAAAATCTTCTTCCAGCTTTATACCATTAAAAATTGTCAATCATCAGAAATGATCAACCCCGTCACATAGAGGCAAGTGGAACAAGAGGGGGAATCATTATGTTATGGGATAGCAGGGTGTGGAAGGGAGAGATACTACAAGTTGGTGCTTATACTCTAACATGTAGTTTTGAGGCTTTACTTCAAAATTTCAACTGCCACATCTCAGGGGTCTATGCACCAAATTGTAAGGTGAAAAGGAGGGAGGTGTGGAATGAATTAGGAGGGGTCAGAGGATTAATGGAAGGGCCTTGGGCAATTTGTGGAGATTTTAATGTGTGCAGGTTCTCCTCGGAGAAAAGAAACTGTCAAAGAAGATCTTCAGCCATGAGTTCTCTGATACTATTGAGGACCTAGAGCTTATAGATTTGCCACTTGAAGGAGGTCAGTACACATGGTTCAAAGGGGATACACATACAACAACATCCAGAATAGACCGAATACTTTTCACGTCTGAATGGAGTGATCAATTTAACAAGATGAAGCAAACTACATTCCAAAGAATGACCTCAGATCATGTCCCAATAGCTCTATTTTGTGGACCTTGGGAACATAGTAAATCATATTTCAAGTTTGAGAACTGGTGGCTGAACACAGAAGGTTTTAGTGAGAAAATCAGTAACTGGTGGAACTCTTTCTCCTTCTATGGGAGGCCAGACTACATCCTAGCATGTAAAATGAAAGCACTGAAAGAAAAGCTCAAAGAGTGGAGTAAAATTGAAAAAGGAAATCTACAGATTCAAAGGTCCAAACTGCTTAACAAAATGGCAGATTTGGATTCTTTGCTGAACAAAAGAGCATTGACAGAGGAAGAGGCTACTTTGAAGGCAGAAATCTTTATGGAGTACGAAGAACTGATCTAAAATGAGGAATGTGCTTGGAGACAAAGGTCTAGAATCTTGTGGTTGAAGGAAGGAGACAACAATACAAAATTCTTCCATAATTCTGCAAATGCCCACAAAAGAAGCAACCATTTTGACCAGTTGGAAGTAGAGGGAACGATCATCACAGAACCAGACAGAGTAAGGGAGGAAATCATCCTGTTTTATGAGAAACTGTATTCTGAAACAGAGATGGAGACCTGATGGAAATTTAGTGAATTGTCCTTCAATATCAGAGGAAGAAAGATCACAACTACAGGCCAAATTTGAGGAGCAGGAAGTTTATAAATGCTTGAAGTTATGTGCCATTGATAAAGCCCCAGGACCTGATAGTTATACTATGGGTTTTTTCATCAAATGTTGGGAAATTCTTAAGCATGACATCATGGTGGCCTTCCATAATTTCTATAAGCAGGAAGTGTTTGAGAAGAGTTTCAATGCCACCTATATTGCCTTGATCCCAAAGAAGAAAGGAGCAAAGGAACTTAAAGACTTCAGACCAATAAGCTTGATAGGCAGTTTCTAGAAGTTGTTGTCTAAATTTTTAACAGAAAGAATCAAAAGGGTGATGTACAAGCTGGTAGACCCCCAACAAATGGCTTTCATCAAAGGAAGACAAATCATGGATGTGGTGTTAATAGCAAATGAAGCAATAGACTCTAGAGTGGGTCAAAAGAAACCAGGCATCCTATGCAAACTGGACATTGAGAAAGCTTATGATCATGTTAACTGGGGCTCCTTCTCAATATACTCGGAAAAATGGGATTTGGAGAAAAGTGGATTAGATGGATACATTTTTGCATCTCAACAGTAAAGTTTTCTGTCCTCATTAATGGTGCTCCTGAAGGTTTTTTTGAAGCCCAAAGAGGAATCAGACAAGGGGGTCCTGTATCTCCATTCCTCTTTATTCTTGCCATGGAGGGACTTAACAACATGATCAAGACAGCTAAAACAAATAGGTGGATCACGGGATTTGAAGTGTCTACAAACAATGAGAGGAGTTTGGAGGTAACACATCTCCAATATGCAGATGACACTTTGATTTTTTGTGATGCAGATGAGGAACAACTAAGATCCCTTAGGGTCATTCTGGTGCTTTTTGAAGGTATGTCAGGCTTCACATCAACTGGGGAAAGAGCCATTTATATCCCATAAACATGGTCTCTAATATGGAGCTTTTGGCCTCAGTGCTAGGTGGCGAGGTGGGAGCACTACCTGCTATCTACCTGGGATGCCATTGGGAGCAAAATCACACTCCAAAGAAATTTGGAATTCTGTCTTGGAGAAATGTGAGAAGAAGTTGGTCAGATGGGAAGCACAATATTTATCAAAGGGGGGCAGGCTCACTTTGATTAAACTTTGATAAATGCAGTCTTGGATGCCCTTCCTACGTACATGCTAACTTTGTTCCCAATACCTGCAGGAGTAGTACAGAGATTGGATAAACTAAGAAGGGGTTTTCTCTGGCAAGGAAACAAGAAAAGAAAGGGATACCATCTGGTAAAATGGAAAGTTATGATCACGGGAAAAAAACAAGGAGGATTAGGCATCAAAAATTTGAAGAACCAAAGCAAGGCTCTAAAGCTGAAATGGTTGTGGAGATATGCTCATGAACCACACTCAATGTGGAGCAAGGTGATTAAACTGAAGTACGGAGAGATGGATTCATGGGTCACCAAGGAAGCAACCAATCCCTATGGTGTTACTGTTTGGAGATCAATTAGGAATTGGTGGCCTTTCCTAAGGAATCATACTACTATAACAGTACACAATGGTGTCAGGACACAATTCTGGAAAGATAGATGGCTTGGTAATCAAAATTTGTCAGAGATCTTCCCTGACATCTTTGACTTAGCACTACATGAAGACAGAACAGTGGCTGAAATGTGGTCTCCCCAAGGTTGGGATCTATCTCTCAGAAGGAATTTAAATGACTGGGAAGTTTTTAGATTAGTTGAATTCTTTAAAAGGTTGGAATCATTTCAAGGTTTGAAGGAAGGGGAGGACTGCCTATGGTGGACATAACACAACAAAGGAAGATACAAAGTGAGCTCAGGTTACAAGGTCATGAACAGGGCTCCTCTAACCCTCAATTGGCCTTGGAGACAAATCTGGAAAACCAAAATTCCACTAAAGGTGGCATGCTTCACTTGGCTGCTAGCAAAGGAGGCAGTACTAACACTGAGAATCTGAGGAAACGAAACAGCATTCTGGTGACACATTGTTGTTTATGTGGGGAGGCAGCTGAGACAGTTAGGCATTTGTTCTTACATTGCAAAATCACTGATCAACTGTGGAAGATTTTCATCAATCTCAGAGGCATTCAATGGACAATGCCTAGCAAGATTGTTGACACTCTCTCAAGTTGGGAGGAAGCAGGAATTGAGGCAAAGAACAGAAGTTATTGGAGGACAATTCCAGCATGCATCTGGTGGACCATTTGGAGAGAAAGGAATGCTAGAAGCTTTGAGGATAGAAGCAGATCCCTACAAATGATCAAAACAGATTGTATTCTGTTATTATGTTTTTGGTGTACAAAGAGTTACCCTGTAGATGCAGAAGCAATCCTAGAAGTATTAGAATCATGCTAGGCTTGCTGTTTTTGTTCCTAGATTTTCATACGTTTTTGTAAAGGGGCTTTCAGTACTACATAAGTACTGGTTTATAATACAAATCGTTACCTTCTCAAAAAAAGAAAAAAAGAAATGAGGTATAAAGCTGGAGGAAGAAATTTTTCTAGGTCTTGTGGAAAATGATGTGAAGCCGTGGAAGCAACTTTGAATATTGGTATGGACACTCACCGGGGTGGTTGCGTTAGTTCTCTAACGGTGTCAAACAGAAAGATGAAAGTTGGTAAGTATTAAATACTACGAGGATGTATTTTGTTAACTATGGTAGTTCAAGGATGTAGCTTAAGTTTTGAGTATAGTTGAAGGATGTTTTTGGCCAAAAACTCCATTTTGCAACAACAAAATAGAGTGTACGCTAACCTCACCCCTATTTTAGGAGGTAGAAAGGTTGTTTTCAATACTCTTAGCTCAAGAAAAAGCATTTCAAAGCTGTTCAGAATCGACCTATTATTTTATGGGGATATAATGTGGAGCAAGTATGTGGGTAATAATTATATATGGATTAAACAATTGAAATTACAAGGATATCCTTCTAACTTATTTCTTCTTTCACTTCAATTTTGAAGTATACATATTTATTCACAACAAACTAGAGGTCCAACAAGAAATAATCCCTGTAATGTAATGCAATAATCCCTGCATAGCTTATGTTTGTACTAAACGACCCCGGATCGTATTACTATACTTTACCACTTTCAAATATTCAAAATTATTTGATTTTAAACTTTGATGTGATATGATCTCCATTAAATTGACTTCTCAATAATTACTTAAATATTTTCTCTTGCTACTACTTATATAAACATAAATAAAGTTAACATTGTTTAGGGAGAAATGGACCTTGGATCTAACTCAACCCTCACAAGCGTAGCTCATGAGGAGAGAATTTCTCAAACCATATAAGAAGACCACAACTCAATCCCTCTACAAAAATTGGATTTGACATCCTCCTGCTTGCCCAAGACTGGACAATTGAAGAGTGGATAACAGAACACTGGCGCCCAACCTTGAGAAACACATCTAACTCAACCTCAAAAGCTAGTTCATGAGAGGAGTTACTCCCAACATTATATGAGGAGATAACAATCCATTCCCTCAATAATTGACATGACAAAAAAATTAAGTTCATGTGACAAACACATCAACAAAAAAGGATCGGGAAGGATATGGAATGGAGTGATTTTTTTTTTTACCTCTATTAGACACCCATAACCCCATCTGTGTAACATATATGACTGTTGCGTGGAATTCGAAACACTATAATAGTGCTCTTCTTTGTTTGAATCTTCTTTATTTGTTCATTAGCTCTTTCCAAATGTTAAAATATCCTTGAGTTGTTGAACTAGTCTTTTGGTTTGTTTGTAAGCTTTAAAATGGCACTTGGGGACAACTCTCACAGTAATGATTAACAACACTTCTATATATGAATCTAAGTAAGAGGTGATATTTTGCTTATGTTCTTCTGGCTAATTATTGGTTCAACTGGTATTTCAAAATTCAAAGTGAAGAGGAATTGATTATTGTCAACCAGCATGGAAAGCCGTTGGTGTTTACTTGCACGTAGCTTTTCGTTATTTTGTAGAAAAGGATCAACATTGTTCTTTACACATTTGCTTATGTACATCATGTAACAAGACTAGGTTTTTATAGTCTCTTTCTATACATGGTGAATTTTAGTTGCCTATTCAGTCACTTCTTCAGGAAAATCTTCCCAAAGTTAACTAATACTTAATAATTTGCAGATTTCAGACTCTAAGAGATCTCATACCACAAAATGATCAGAAGAGAGACCGAGCGTCATTCATGTTAGAGGTGTGAGTTGTGACATTTCAGTTCCTTGCCAATCTTGCTGTTTTTTCAATCCTGTTTACTGCATCTTCACAAAGATGGCTTCAAGATTTAATACAAAATACAGGTTATACAATATATCCACTTTTTGCAAGAGAAATTACAGATATATGAGGGAACCAACCAAGGATGGAGTGCAGAACCCTCGAAGTTGCTGCCATGGGTATGATCTGTGTTACACTTAATTCACTTTTAGATTCTTAGGTAATGTGGATGGCTTCTTGGGCTGTGTATTTTACTTACAATTCCTGTTCTGATCTCGCTCACTACCTTTAGCATTGATACAACAATTTGCTTTCCTTATTAGAAGGCAATCTCTTGTTTTTCTGCAACGAGCTTCGTGATGTTTGCCTGGTTTGGTCCAACATTTGCTGGTTGTAGATTGGTTATGACCAACTAGAATCAAGTCTTTGCTCCTTCTTGTCTGTTGAATCCTTCACACCATGAGGCCGAAGATAGTTAAGGTAGACTTTCATTCATAGTATACTCTCTCTATTAATGCTTTTAAAAGCGAGAAGTGCAAAGAGGCGACAATGGCCCTGCGGCTCTAAGCAAGAAGCAAAGTGAACACAATTTTAGAAGAAAAGCAAAATGAACCTTGCACAAATAAATAAAATTATAAATAAGCAAAAATGGCATGTTTGTCCATAGAATTTTGTGAAAACAGGAAATCAAGATTAGCAAACTGAAAAAAGAAAAGAATGTCCATGGCATTCTCTGGGAAAAGGAAAAAAGATTTAAAGTAGTCCCATTGAATTCTTTGAAGAAAGCAAAACAAGATTTGAACAAACTGGGAAAAAGAAGGACAAACAGAGGAAATAAATTTGAGAAGCATTGAGAAAGAAGAAAAAAAGAAGACAGTGAGTAAAATGAGTAAATGAAACCTGAGAAGCAAACCTAATATCTTATAAATGTACAGTTTGTTAAAAAGACTTATAAAAGCTCTTAGACACTATTTTTGAGGCTTTTACCTAAAGTCCTTTCTGGGTTTAAAGATCTAGACTCTGGTGGATTTCTTCCATAGGAATAGTACTTTCGCCTCCCTTTTTTTCACTCCTCTCAATCTCTTTCCACTTTCTTTACCTCTTCCATTCTGTCACTACAAAAAGGATGGACAATAATAGGATCTTTTTTTTCATTCAGGGAGAGTCCTTTTACCTTAGTTGTGCGGACTCTTCACTTTTGATGCTGCACCCGTGTCGGATTCTCCAAAAATACACTACTTTTGGAGAATCTGACACGCACCCATTGACATTTTGAAGAGTTCGAGCAACTTAAATTTTTATGTCACCAAAGCCAAGGTTAGAGAGAGGTCTGGTACAACTGGGTGGAAGTGGCAGATACCATATGCCTATGGTGTTGAGTAGAGGTGTTCTCCTCTGGATTTGCAAGAGATCTTGTGAAGCATAAGAAGTGATGGAATTCTTTTAAAACATGGAATTATTTCACCTACATCCCTCTTTCTTTGAAGTCCAACAAGTATGGAAGGTTTCTCTCTCTGATAACAGTTAAAAGGGGCAGACACGACATTATTATTCCAGAAAGTGCATTTAATGTTGGGGGGAGGAAACTTGCAGGCAAATGAGGTGACTGTCACCTGAGGTTGGGGTTTGGAAGTCAATCAAGAATCTTTGGTTGTCACTCAAGCATAACACTAGAGTTAGAGTTGGAATGGGAGATATGGTACTTTTCTGGAAAGAGGACTGGAGTGGTCGTGGAACTCTTCAATCTCTGTTCCCTGGTCTGTTTAATATGCTTCCTGATTGCAGTATACAAGGAGTGTGGTCTCCTCAAGGATGGAACCTGATCTTTAGAAGGCTCTGAAATGATTGGGTATCTAAACTTCTGAATTTGATAAGAAACTTCCTAGGTTTTAATCTAGAACCAGACAACTTCATTTGGGAGCACCACAATGATGGAATTTTCACTGTTAGCAAGGTATACAAGAGGGGTCTGAATGAAGCTGCAGGTAGGTCAACAAGACCTTGGACTGCTATTTTGAAGATTGTGGCTCCTACTAAAATGAAGTGCTTCACTTGGCTGGTATCTAGGGAAGCATGTTTGACACTTGAGGCATTACAAAAGAGGGGGATCAACATAGCTTCTAGATACCTTTTATGCAAGGAGGCACTAGAAACCAACAAATGGCTTCTTGAAATTTGTCAAAGTTGACTTAACTTTTCTTTGGCTTCAATTCTTTTTAAATGCTCTCAGGCACATTCCCCAAAATTCTCTCTCTCCTACCTTCTAGGAGAGAGAGAACCCTCTTTTCCGGTAGTTCGCCTGAGACCTACCATTTTCTTCCGAAAGGTACCTTTTTCTTTCTTGTAATATCTTGTTTGCAGCTATGGGGGAAAACAGGATATATTTTAATGCTGGTTTCAAATCGTTCGACATAACCAAATGGAATGCTGAGGGTTCTGTTTGGTATGAGTGGATGGAGAGAAGTCGAAGAATGATGAGAAGAACAACTATAAGCAGCAAAGCAATGGACTGGATTTGCTCACTGCTTAGAGAAGCATCCACTGATAATGAGAAGAACATTAGGAGATGGAGGTTTGCTGACAGAAAGGAGGAGTTTTTCTGTACTAGAAAACATAATGATTATGGGAGATATATGAGCATTATTGCTTTGAATGCTGGGGGAAGATCTGTAATCATCATTCCAGAACCCGTCTTAAATGCTGGATGGTACGATTTAGCATTTAAGATTGAAAACTTCATTAAATGCCACAAAGGACTAGTACCAACGATCCTATCAAGAGCTACAGATCCCAAATATCCTTATGCAAAGGCTGTGAGAGACAGCAAATGGCTTACTAAAAGCCATAGAGGAACAGAGATGACAAGACAAGCAAGAGGATGGGCTATTGAGCAGGTGCCTTGTGGGACATTTGGAGAAGGCCAGCAAAGAATCACCTTCCTTATCCAAGATTAGAAGATGGTCATCTTCTGAATGGAAGAAGACATTTGGAGTCAATATTTATGAGCTATATGGCAATATGTTCCTCTTTGAATTTCCTAATAAATTCATGGTGGAACAAACCCTTCAAGGCCAGTGGAAATGGAAAAACCTAGTTTTCAACTTAGAATGGTGGAGTCCAACCGTAGGTTGTGAACCAATCTTCATGGAAGTTAAAAAGACATGGATCAGAATTATAGGAGTCCCTCTTCATCTTTGGTCACATCAAGTTTTTGCAGAAATTGGACAACTCTGTGGTGGATGGGTGGCTACTGAAGAAGAGACAGAATTAAAGAACCATATGAAGTGGGCAAGAATTTTGGTGGCAGATGATGGAAGACATATACCAAAAGAAGTTTCAATTGTGCGTGACGGAATCAAGTTTTTTTTCCCGATATGGGTGGAAAGCAAAGCAAGATTTGAAGTGTTGTCGGAAAAAGTCTCAACTTTTACAGGAGAAGATGACAGTGTGATAAATCTGGATCATAATATGAACCAGAGGGTCATAAGGAGTAATCTCTGTGTTCCAGCTAGAAATCCCTTATAAATAGGGATTCTAGTACAGAGACCCATGTGGGAAGAGAAAAACTGTCAAAAGTGGTGGTACCCACTGACGTATGTGACAGTTACATATCCCTTTTAATGAAGGATGATGCTTTGGGCCTCAATGAAAGGCCTGAATTTTTAAATGAAGGAACCAGTGGGCCTGACCCAGCAAGTCTGGAATTTTTAACAACATAACAATCTCAACACAGCCCATCTACAGGAGGACTGGTCTCTTAAAGATACAGAAACCAATTTTGTATGCAGCATAGAACAGAACAGAGTAACGTGCAGGAGATGTCAATAATCAGTTCAAGTGATGTTTTGATAGATGCAGTCTTGCAAACCACAAATCCAAAGTCGCAAATCCTGATTAGGGACGGGATGGAGAAGGGGGTAGAAGAAGTTGCATGCAATACACTAGAGCAGAGATTAGTGTCCTCCATTAAAGAATGGGAGGTTGAAGAGGCTGAGCCATTGTGCACACAACAACATCTAGAGCAGAGATTAGTGTCCTCCATTAAAGAATGGGAGGTTGAAGAGGCTGAGCCATTGTGCACACAACAACATCTAACTACGGAAAAAGAGAAAGAGATATCTGTTTGGGTAAAACAAAATCTGATCAGACTGGGGAAATTACTGGGTGCTGACTTCCAAGGCCATGAACAAGAAGCTTTGGAACTTCTATTACAGGTGGATAGTGCCAGACATGCCAGACATCAGGATGCTGCAGTGGTTTGTAAGAAGACAATGTTCAAAGGTTCTAAAGAATTGGAAAGTTTAGTAGCATTTGATGTGAAATTCAAGAGTGGTGGGGGTAGAGAAAAGGGGAGAAATTTCCTTGCCATTTCATGATGCAATTCAAACTAGTATCATGGAATGTAAGGGGTTTGAATAATAGAGATAAGAGGAGGGTTATCAAGAACATCATGGGGGACTGGAAAGTTGACATCATTTGTCTACAAGAAACCAAATAACAGGGGGATATCACTGAGTTGGTAAGGCAGATTTGGGGGGATAGGTGGGTCAAAATGGCATGTTTGGAGTCGAGTGGGACAAGAGGAGGGATAATGATGTTGTGGGATAGTAGAATATGGAAGGGGGAGGTACTAGAGACAGGGACATATACTCTCACCTGTAAATTTGAATCACAATTGCAAGACATTTCCTGCCACATGACAGGAGTTTATGCACCCAATTGCTATGTGGAAAGAAGACTAGTATGGGAAGAAATTGGCTATTGGAGGACTAATAGAAGGTCCGTAGGCAATATGTGGGGATTTCAATGTGGCAAGATATGCTTCAGAAAAGAAAAGTTGTACTAGAAGAACATTAGGAATGAGAGAGTTTTCTGATTTGATTGAGAATTTGAATCTAATTGATCTCCAATTGGAAAATGCTAAGTTCACTTGGTTTAAAGGGGACAACCATCAAATAGCTTCGAGAATTGTCAGGATCCTGGTATCTCAAGAATGGGATGACGTGTTTAGTAATCTGAAACAGTCACACTTCAAGGTGGTTCTTGGAAGAAGAACAAATGTTATTTTAAATTTGAGAATTGGTGGTTAAGAACGGATGGTTTCATAGATAGAATTAGGGAGTGGTGGGACTCTTTCGATTACATTGGGACACCTGACTACATCCTGGCATCTAAATCA